GTGTGCGCCTCCGGGAGTAAGGTAGCCAAGCAAACCGCAACAAATACAAATACAAATACAAATACCAAGACTGGCTGACGCTGCCTTATTGCTACTACAAAACAGTTCATTTCATGACTTTGGTAAGATCCCATAATGTATTGATTGTCTACTCCCTCGCGCCCTCCGACAACGCCTCGGTGCGGAGCATGTGTGCGCGCTCGTCGTGCACTGCTTCGCTCGGAGGCGTCCTCAGAGGACACGACAGGGTTCATGGGCCGCACTACCGGAGGAAGAGGGGCTCTATTTGGTTATGCATTAACTTGAATTCACTATAAAGCCCTGAACGTTTTGTTTGTCAAGCTGGGCTAATGGTTCGGGTGCATTTATTTCTTAACCATTCTCAAACAAGCGTGTACATTGTAGTTGGCAGTAGGGCCGCACTACCGACTACATGTGAGCGCCTTATTTCGTCGGCTCGACTGTAGGTGGCACGAGGAGGAACGCACGCAACGACACTACCCTCTGAAAGTTTTGGCCAATCGCATGGTGCAAATTGTTGTCCGACAAACTGTCTTACGTTTTGACGGACAAAATACAATGTAGCCACTGGTATACTAAAACCAAGATGTAGCCAAAATGCGTTGATTGCAAAACGTAAGACGCTTTGTCTTACGGCAGGCTGTCTGGGGCTAAGTAACGTCTTACGAAAGAGCATGAATCATCCTTTTCCAGTGTAGCATGCGCACTAGAACAATGTTATTCCACTATCCCGTGAGGCAGGTGTGTTACGAAAAGTTGCTCCAGGAGGGGCTCGAACCCTCGACCTGCGGCTCATAAGACCACCGCTCTAACCAACTGAGCTACAGGAGCGGCAATCATAACGATTTTTGTCAATTTCATACCACCCTAAATTGATTTTTGTGTTTCAGCTCACACTCACAAGACCGTTGGAAGGGGTGCAAAATTTGCCAGAACGTTCTTAATTAAACGAAGAAGGGTCTGGTGGCGAGGATGACAAGAGAAATGCGAGTATGAATTGGTTAACTCTTCCGACGATTGCTCATCCTTCATCGACGAGTATATAATGAGGTATTGTGAAACGCGGTCGGAATGTCCACGCCTTGTTAGCTAATTTGTTTATCTTGATCGGATTTTTAAATCAGTTTTCACAATATGTACCAATTTTTAAAAATATCGGTACGTATTGTGAAAACCGATTAGTGTGTCCTGCTGAATTGACCAGTAACGCATCGCTCACAGAGGATTTAGAGGCCTCTAAATTGAGGATGTCTCAATTATAATCGGATTATAAATCGTTCATCGGTCTAGTAATTATGTGCAACCTAGCTATTTCGATCAACATACCACCTCGGCCCTAGTGCAGCGGCAACACCGCACCTTAATCCGTCGCTTGCTTATCTCAGTTACATTTATTATAGCGTGCGGCTTTTCCGGGTCATTATAGTTGTGCTGTTAGTATTGTAGCCTTGACTATAATACCTAGCCAAGAGCGACTGCAACGATTGTTGTCTGCGCGGCTGATTTTGCCTACAAGGAGCGAATGCCGGTTGCACATCGACTTCCGTCTGAATAGTAAGCAAATCGGCCGGCTCTGGCTAAATCGGCTGATTAGCAAACCTAAATCCGATGCATATATTTGGCTCTGCAAGTCGTCCTTACTAATAATAGGGGGACTCGAACTTGAAAAAAACGTGCTCACAATCTCGCACTGCTGATGCTCATTTCCCTCGAGCTTTTCTGCTCATGGCTTACAATTTTATCAGTCACCTCTGGGGGTGGCTGATAAAATTGTAAGCACTCATTTTCGTGACAAAAATGTACATTCCCCTCGCCCCCTCCATTGTCTCCTTCCCCCCTCCAGCGGCTTGTCGGAGCCTACTGAGAATCGCCGGCGCGCGGCGAGACTGTCGGCATCCACGCTGTGTAGGAAGGCTCCCTTCGCTTGGCGGGCAGCCTCTCGTGCTTGGCTTAGACCTGTTCAAAGAGCCCCGCTTGCGGGGCTCTGCTTGGCTTGTCCAATGAATAATGTGGAGTACAATAGTATCAGAAGACTATCAGTAGGTTAACGACGTCGTGTAGATTGTCTTATTCTACGTGCAAGCGCTTAGAGAACATGGTTTGATAAATCGGCTGAATATGGTGTCCTGAAGTTGTGTGTGTGTGTGTGTGTGTGTGGATTGAACGTCAAATGGTTAGAACAGGTAGTTATATGATTTGCGCGAAGAAACTATGACGTAAAACTTGTAAAATCCTACGCCTTAGTCTAAAGAAAAAGAATGAGGGTATACCTCATTACATACTCGTCGATGAAGGATGAGCAATCGTCGGAAGAGTTAACCAATTCATACTCGCATTTCTCTTGTCATCCTCGCCACCAGACCCTTCTTCGTTTAATTAAGAACGTTCTGGCAAATTTTGCACCCCTTCCAACGGTCTTGTGAGTGTGAGCTGAAACACAAAAATCAATTTAGGGTGGTATGAAATTGACAAAAATCGTTATGATTGCCGCTCCTGTAGCTCAGTTGGTTAGAGCGGTGGTCTTATGAGCCGCAGGTCGAGGGTTCGAGCCCCTCCTGGAGCAACTTTTCGTAACACACCTGCCTCACGGGATAGTGGAATAACATTGTTCTAGTGCGCATGCTACACTGGAAAAGGATGATTGTTGCCACTCCACGCACGCCTCGATAACTATTTTTAAGAACAACGTAAGGAAGTGAAACTCAATGATATCTAGTTTAACTGAATAATTAAATATTGTGAAAACCGCTTCTTTTGCCTATTTTGGTCGTAAAACGATTAATTAGCACCCTAATTTAGCTCGATCGATTTGTAAATCGATCGCGTCCCTGCGATGCATATGTGAGTGGGTACGATCGATTTATGTGAAACCAGTCGATACAGACGCGTTTGGAGCAGAATGCCTACCTTTTACTGGGCAATCGTGCAGCCTAGCGATGCATATGGATCACAATCGATATATACCCTGATTTATACTCTGATTAATTAGGTGATTGAGATCTAATAAGCGGTTGCTACAGGTGGGCATTTTGGCCGGTTATTACAATAAGTGAATGACGCTTAAAATGAACCAATGACTTTAATAAGTAAGTAAGTAAGTGACTGGATGAGTAAGTTAGGATTACCATGCTCAGGTGTTACTGAACCTTTTTGTACAATGATGCCATGCAAATGTAGGTTTGTTTTGTGTAAAAGTATTGTTGGGACATACAGAGCGCATTTTTCCTGCTACTGATCGTTTTAGAGTTGAGAAAAGATAATGAGCAGTTACGATACTAGTACTTGCCCTTATAATCACCCGATTAGACCCTACAAGGTACGTACAGCAAGACGTGAGTACTCTTAAAACGTATGGGACGATGTAGTCTGTATATATAAGGAGGAGCTGATAGAGAAGAACATTAGATAGCACCTGTGCATTCGCAGAGCAATTGTGCGGCCAATCGTCAAGTTCTACAAAAAGCCCAAAGAGGGTACCATCCCAGGATGTACAGAACGACGCGAATGAATAACCGCGTTGATCAGCGTTTTGTTCGGGAAGCCGAGCGTTAGCGCTTCGTTAGCGCTGCGGTCGCCACCGCCCAAGCGATAAGGCCATCTGTTGGAGGGTGTCATGTCATACGCTCGCGTCTCCTTGCCGCACTCCGGGATAGTTGAGTCGCCTTTATCTCTATCAGAAGGCCGGCAACCTGCGCGGACCCGTACCTCACTGCGTGGCCAAGAAGATGATGAAGTATTGGCCGGACTCTCCAAAGGTATGAACGATGCATATTGTGCTTATGGCTCTGGTAGTTTGAGTTTCTCAATAGGTGTGATTGTCCTGTTGCTTTTCTTGGGTGTAAAGATGACGGGGTCGTCGGTTGAGGCTCGGCAGAGCGCTTCTAGTGCAGACCTTAGCTAAGGTGAGTTTTTGAGCGCGTCTGTGTTGTGAAAGGCCGGGAAACACTCCACGTGAAAACCAACCTCACACTTCGTGCACTCATATCGGGACTTCTTTTTGATGTTTCGCACGCTGCAGAGATGACAGAGTAGCTTGTATTGCTGTGCTCGGTGGTGTTGGGCGTTATCATCTGGAGCGACGTGTCCATGCCAACTATCTCCTCCTGCGTCTCGGTGGTGCGCTGCTTCTGTTGCAACTCACGCCGACGCTTGTTCTGCTTCTCGCAACTGGTGAGTACGTCGGCTATCCTGCGTTTGAATTCACGCAAGGATACACCCTTTGCTGCGTCTGGTTTGACTGTGCTGAGTAGCGTTTGTGCGTTTATTATTGCCAGACCCATTAGCCACGTGAGCATCGTCATTCCAAGCCGATTTTCACGCCGACTAATTGGATTAGTGCTGCGCAGCTGATCCACACGATCAACCGGTGTGGTGTGGTAATACCACTAAAATTCTCTTCTACCAAAAGGTATTAGAGACACCAAAAGCACGCTAACCCGCAAAGGTAAGCGCTTATTGGATCAAAACCTGAAGACCAGGAACGATCCCTTACACCGGGTTGGTTGCAAGCGCCTCTGTGCACCTTAGGTTATCTTCGGTCAACCCCAAAACCTGTACCACTAGCCACGAGCTAAGGCTAGGATCCTATGTAGCGCTTTCGCGCAACCCCCCTGCAGTCCCTCAGAAAGGAAGGGTACCGGCGTGTTAGGCCTTATACAGGGGGACCAAGGTAAAACCTCGGTAGGTAGACTAATACACTCAGGGGCACTCTAATCCCACAAATATATACCGAACGATACTCTAATACCGTTCCTGCCTCTCCGGCCACGCCACTCTTGGCGCTGCCAAGGAATTTGCCTACCAAGTTGATACGCACTGTCCCCAGCAAGTGCATCTCACCGTCCGTAAATTTCAGCAGCGCTTGAGCAAATGTGTGACGAGTGTAAACGTTATCCGAAACAACAAGGCGATATCCATTGCAGAGCACGAGTTTGATGGCCGGTCATTGCAATCCACATAGTCGCCACCGTGTCCGGCTCGATGGATGCATCTTCCACCCGCAATGTGTTGTACAATGGTGTCCTCAATGTTTGAAACAGGTTCGTGTAGCGCTCCGCAGGCGTGGACGGCATGTTGTTGCCGGACGAGTTGTTCCATAGCGCGTGCACGTACAGCGAGCTCCACCCCACTACAGCATAAAAGCGAAGCCCGTAATTATCGGGTTTGGATGGCATATTTGTCTTTGCCCGCGTCCGTTCCTTCGTCAGCATAGTCATCTCGTCAATACTACTCACACCAATAGGAGCAGCAACCTCTGCAAATTGTTGCTAGAAATGCTCCATTATTCCACGGCAACGCCAAAGAGGATCCCGCTCTTCGTCGAACGATGGCGGCTGAGGTGCATGTAGAGTGAGGGCACCTCGAATCTGTTGAAACCGGTTTCTAGACAAGGTCTCAATGAATCCCTGCTGCCCAAGAAAGCGGAGTTTGGACCAGAACTCTGCTATCTCATTCAAGTGGCAGATGCTCATAGCGATCTCGAGGCCTAAGTAAGCATTGAACTCGCTCGCTTCAGTGATCTTTGCGTTCCCTTCCTCCACTAAAACGTCCGAAGTCCACTTCCGAAGTCGCTCCTTGAACACGGCCGTAAAAAATGAAGAGAAAATGCCGTACTCTGTCTTCTTGTCGTACGCCTTCGCCACTTGGTCGGCTATCATCACATGGAGGCCACTGTTGTTGCGCAGTGAGGCAATGTACTCCTCGGCCATGGCGCGGCGCTCGGACGCGTTGGTGGCGGGAGCGCCTCCTCCACCCATCATGGCCTCCTTCGTCAGCGTGCGCTGACACCCCTTCGTCCGAAACAACGCTGTCGCAGTCGTCTTCTTCGTCAGCTTCAACCTCCCAGTCCCCTCTCAGGTCCCCATCAGTGTCGGTTTTGCGTTGAGCGTGCAAAGGAGGGAAGGAACCTCTAACGAGCTAATATTAGTGCACTCAGGCAGTAACGAAAACATAGGTGATGGTATGATAGAGGTCTGGATGGACCTCTACGAACCGACCTGCGGTAGGGGCTAGTGAATATTGTCCAATGGCAATCGTTAACGAAACCTGGTAGAGGTCTAAGGGGACCGCTATGAAGCATAGGAGCTAAAGGGTTTATCACGTGGCGCTTCTCCTGTTGATCCTAGCGCGTGCCTAGTAAAGTATTAACGAGTGCTGTGGGCCACGTGTAGCAGTAGGTCCCCAGTCACCTTGAGAAATGCATCTGTAGAAAACTTTAGACGGCTAACATGAATCTCTTTCCGCTCACCTGTCAACAAACTTTGTATCTCGAAGATCCAGTTGGGCGTGGTGAAGACCACCGCCGTCGGCCCACACCACTTCACTCGCAATTTTCTACATAGGCGTTGTTATACATCAGCATACAACATGTAGTATCCAACGTCAAACTGAGCCATGGCCGTTCCTTTATTTTTGGCTCGATCTTTGCGTCCAGCAGCCCTTGCCGCCGCGTTCGCCCGGGCACTGCGTCTGTGTGTGCTTTAGCTGCAGTTGCTCGGCATGCTCTCGCTGGGTGGATTGGGTTACTCAAGAGTTTTTTTTTTTACAGGGCCCGGAATTGCAATATTAAAACCGGGTCCCATCGTCTTCATCTAGCCATAGCAGTTACAAGGGCAACTCCCCCAATCCTGGTGATGGTGTGTGGTTCAACACCATTTGAACGAGTTTTACCACACGTGTCTACTCCCGTGGCTGCAGCCTCCATTCTGATAGCAGGCCAAGGCAGCACCGCAACGTTTCTCTCAACTACCTCCACCGTACCAATCGCCCAGGATGGAAGATAAAGTGTAGATTATGGAGGTCAGTAAAACAGAGTTCAAACCCGTTAGGACGGAGCAAGTGGTAGTCAGTCCGTTGGCGCGCATATCGATAATTACATATGCTTCATTTTCCAACTTTAGCCCTCCGGATAGCGGCTCCCGAAAATGAACCACTCAGCTTTGTCAGTGGTTGGTGTTCTTGCTCGCTAATAGGCCGAACCGCATGGCCACGCGGAATCCGTGTAATTAAATCACCCTAATGATCGTCACTCGCATTCGTGTAGACAGAAAGAAGCTTGGTGGGGTCTGGGTACGCCAGTAGCAGAGCATGCTGCAACGCAGCCGTGCACCGCTCGATGCAGGCGAATTCATCACCGCCCCACTCGAGATCGCACAGCTTCAGGTATCGTACTTGGATTTTCTTGCTCATAGACCCGATCCATCACTTTCACTAGCGAATCGATTCGATTGTTGAATGCAGTCAGCGACACCCGCATCCAGTTCAGTGCGCATACAAATTGTTGTAGCTCCTGTCTTGTAGTCGATGCAGGTAGACTTGAGAGAGCAGTGATCCTCGCTGAATCATGGCGCACATTTTCCCCCGCCATCACTCGATCATACCACAGCACCTCCTTCGGGTTAAAACTGAATTTGGGGGGGGGGGGGGCTAAGTTCGAGACCCTTTTCAGCACAAATAGACAACACCTTCTCAAGCAATAGCACGCCTTCATCAGTTTGTCAACCACAACATCAGTCCGTTGGTAAAAACCTCAGCAAATATTTGCCGCACAGTCGATTGGACGCAGGAGACACTGTTTTTCCTTCCCATGAGTACTGAGTTTGTGTGATGACACCATCCTCGATCAGAATGGGCTGGCACCACACCTTCATTGCGGATTCTCTGAACTCCTTTAAAAAAGTCTAGCCAAAAGTAGCGCGAGAACCCGCGGAGCAGCTAGGAGGCTGCCTCTCATATCGGTATGCAATCGAATCCACGCATCTATTCGGACCTCGCACGTCCACGGTCATACGATGCGCCCCCAGCTTCAGGCTTATTCACTACATGATGAGGAAAGAACCATCGGTTCCGAGGGTTCCAATAGCACATCCCAGCATCAATAAGCCCATTGATACGCTTTTTCAGGAATGCACAATGAGCGCGTGAGTATCGAGGGCTCGACATTTCACTGGTACTGCACCTATCTTTGGAGGAAATTTTAATGCAACTCATTGACGTGTTTCGTCTCGTCATTGTCCGGAATCCACCTGTAGATATGTCATCGATGGAAATGACTCTCGTCAATGAGCTGCATTAAACTTTCCTCCAACTCGGTAAGAAACTAATGTGATGCACCGAACCGCCGAGTCTCATCCACTTTTCCCCGCAGGATGGCCTTGATTTTTTACGGGAAATTTTTTTATGCATCCATCGGCTACTTTCTATTACATGGGGATTTATTGTATTACATAGGATTAATTCTATTATCGACAGCTACTTTTGACGCCAGTAAAAATTTAATTAGACGCCAGCTCCGTGAGCAGTTGGAGTTCGGATATGCACCGCTACTAAGCCTTCATGGACTACAAACATGCATTGAAGAGGCCGGAAGACTTGATATATGACTGCTACCAAGCCTCTGGGCGCACTGTAGGCTTGATTTACAACTGTCACTTAGTCGCACTACACAGTACTGTAGTTGATTTAAAGTAGAGCTTTGCATAGTTTATTCCATGATTAACTATCCACACAACTGTACTTATCTACAGGACAGGATTTTGCCGCGGCGGACTGATGTAGTCATTGTGCATTTTCGATGCGACCAATCAAGCGACTGTGAACCTCGATCGACCGTGCCGTCGATGTTATCGACCGCCTCCGACAGGACCTGTTGAGGGCAGAGCGGGTCCTTGCCGATGAAATTTCCCGCCTCGACAGAAATGCGTCGCGCACCTTGCGCCAAGTCGATGGCGAACCACTATCGTCATCGTCCGACGAGAGCAATGATGATTCGTCTCGGCCTAGAACCCCACCGTTTGTCGACAATTTTGATGACGACGAGATCCTTTTTGGCCAACCAGGACCCCCGCGCAACAATTTCAGTCAATCCGAGCGCACTCCTAGCATTTCTGACCGATCAGAGAGTTTTACTGATGCCTCTCCTAGCCAATCGGATTACTCGTCCTCTTCGCTCAGCCAATCAGGAAGCGACGAAAGCGAAGAAGAGTACAAGATCGAGACGGCAGGGTCTGCGAACAATCCAGTTGATTTAACTTACGATAGCGAGTAAGTTTTCTGTTTTCTTTTCCTTTTTCCGTTAAGAAACACATACTTTCTGAACTGCTGTGTTTGTATTAGGTTGATTTAATTTGGGCCTTTCTGGATTTAAATTTTACCTTTTCCGACTTTCGTACGGTAAGTAAACACATAAATTACCTCAGAGACTGGACATACAACCGCCGCGGTCCCTGCGCTTTTGCTAAGACCTCTCAGTTTACAATTTCAAGCATCCGAACAAGTCTTTATCTCAGCTACTGTCAACAACCCCGTCCGTGACCTCCACACCCGGCTACCCTTTCCGACCTTTGCAAGCCTGTATCGAAGACTGCTGCCAACGCACCGCTTACTGTTGCGAGGCGTCGACCGTGCCTGCAATGGAGACCGAACCGGCCGGCCGCTCTACCGGGCCCCCGTCATCAATATCGCTCACCCCATCTTCATGTGATAGCGAGGATTTTTCGGGTGTGGTAACGCGACGTCGATCAGCCGCCATTCCGCGTCGCAGACAGCGTAGTGCTGACAGCGAAGAAAAGACCGCCGAACTCGACTTCGATGACGGGGCTGGTAAAAGTCCAAGTGGCAGTGATGAGGACTACGAGTACGAAAGTGACAACGAGGGAAGCAGTGACGACTCCCCACCGCAGCAAGACAATACGACTCCTCCAGAAACCCGTCCCGATGAAAGTGAACGAGCTGTCATGGAACACCCGGTGCTGTTCGATACGATGGAAGAGGCAAGGGCAGTTTTGGATGGGCTTGAGAGCGCTCGCTTTCCATCGACAACAATGGGAGAACGACTACGCTGTTATCGTGTACGTCTCATGTCGACTGTGCTGCGGTGGCACGGATCAAATGCAACAAAGATGAGCAGTATGTTTTATCCAGAGGTGGGATGCACACTACTGAGCCAGCCCCCGTTGAAGAGCAGCGAACCGGTATTCACAAGCCGCTGCTACCGGAGATCGACAATTTGTTGCTCGGAGGCCAAGGACCCAAAAAGTATTTGAACACGCTTCGCATGAGATACAAGGAGTCGCCTGAACAGCTCAACTTGCTGCCAAGCACCAGCCAGCTGGAAAACCGAGCTCACAAGCTGAGAAAGCGCGGCGATTTCTCCATCACGACCTACGCAGATGTGATGGAGTGGGCATCGCCGAGGATGTGCACAACGAAGGAGCAATTCTTCCAGCATATGAGTTACCTGGTGGAGTCGGATGATGTGCGGATATTACAAGAGCCCTTCGGCTACCAGCACGAACTGCTGGTCCTGGACTGCTTTACCGATCACCTGGACGATGGCAAACTCTCGCTCGGCATTATATTCACTTCCCGGCGGTTGTTTCGGACTCTGCCACGAGTGATTCTCGGTGAGCGGTCGCAAGTACTGGGTGCAACCGACGGAACGTACAAGCTCCACTTTGGTGGATGGACGCTTGTTTCGTTTGGTACTTTCGGTGTTCGATACACAGCGTCACACAAGTACCAGCACAAGTTTATCCGATGGCATTCATGTTTGTGCGAACGGAGACGGCGTTTGCTTACGCGCAGCTCTTCACAGTTTGCAGAGAGCGCGGTGAATCGTTTTTCGGCGGCGCCCTAACGCTTCAGCATGGATCCATGGACCACTCGACGTCTATTGCAAACGCGTTCCGACAAAGTGGCCTGACATCAAGCTCCTGAACTGCTGGCCTAATTTGTATCGTAAAGCCCGCGGCAAGAAGGCACTTCTTTCCGATCGTGGCCGGTATGACGGTATCATCAAACCTCAGCTGGAATATTTGAGTCAATGCCGGACTATCGAGCAGTTTGAGGCGTTGTCGGATCTCGTGGGCGGCTATGGGTGAACCCGAGTACGCGCAATGGCTCGACGATGAGTATTTGACAGACCCATGGGATCTATGGTTTACGCCGCGAGCGGTACCCCTGGTGTGGTGCTAAACCAAAATCCGATTGAATCCCATCACCGTGCGATTAAGGCGACGGCGGTTGACCACCTTCGCGCTGCGACGGACCATGTACTTGCGGGAACACTACCCAAGATTTTGGTTGAGTGTGCAATGGATATTGGCTCGGATCGGATTCGGCACTACGCGTCAGGACCCGTTAGCGCTGAAGTTCTCGGGGCGGCTGTGCAGCTCTGTGCAAGTGCCAATCATTACCCAAACCACCAGCGAAAGTCGCAACGCGTCATCAACCGAATTCAAGAGTACTATTTCAACTCCGACTACTATGTCGTTCGTGACGACAACTTGCATGGGCTGAAGGTTAACGCACATCGCGTCAAGACGTACAAGGCATCGCTGGATGGTACGCTCAAGAAGGACGAGAAGGTCGAGAACATTCAGCTTCGGTACTTGTCGCTCCACACGGTTGAAGTCCTGGACCGCGTTACCTTCGATCATGCCTGGGATAACCCTTCCTGGAATCTTGATGGAATCGAAGTGATTCGATCAAAGTTCAAGTGCGACTGCAAAGCGTTCTTCCAAACGGGGTGGCTGTGCGCTCATGTGTTGGCCTGCTTACATCTGGTCGACTCGTTTGATCTCCAAGTCATGCTACGAAGTCTACCGGCTCGGAAGCCACCTGGAAGACCTCGAAAGAAGACCAAGTGTCTCGCGCGGGATGGCCCTCGGAAGTCCCAGTACTCGATAGACGCGCTCATCAAGCGGCTGGTTGACAAGCCTGCAAGCGTGATTAACTGGAGCATCTTACAGGTGTGGGCGACCACTGTCGAAGACGGCGAGGAAACGGAGCTCAACTTTGTTGGGAAAATCAAGCCCCCATTCACTCGCGGAGGCAAGCGGTACTGGAAGGTCGAGTACGATGACCGCGAGGAAGTTGACACACTGGGCGTGGAAGGATTAGCAATGGCGATCAACTACTCCTTCCGGATGGGCCACAACATCGTGACGCGGTCGCTGGTGTGGAGTAGCGCCCTCGCAGAAATCTCGCGAATGCGATCTCGCACAAACTCGGCGCGTCTGGATAGCGGTCGCGCCGAGCAAATTATTCCCGGTTGTTGGAGTAGCGTATCTTCGACATACAGGCCCAAGTCTTCGCAGGCTTCGGAGTTGGGGGTTCTTGTGTTGACGCTTGTTCCTTGTCGTAGGGCGTCGAGCCTTGGGCGTGCGGCGTTATCGGGCCGGCGTTTCCTCGGAGTTCCCGTCGGGCGTGCGGCGTTATCGGGCCTACACGGGGGGTCTTGTGCACGGCGGTTATCAGGCCGGTGCGGTCCTTCGCCTAGGCAGCGCGTTATCGGGCGCCCACCTAAACGGTATACGTTTAACGTGCCTTTGTTCCAGCACGGGTCTGTGGGGGGTGAGCACCCGAACCAGCAAACGACGGGGGGCCGCGATATCGAGGCGGCTCTACTTGCCGGCGCTTGGTGGTTCCCCTGGAACCTCGGAGAAGACGGGAGGTCTTTGTGGTTCAGAGAAATTTCGGGACTGAGTCCTTACCCTATCCTATGCCCTAGCTACTGGCTACTCCGTACTACTGCTTGCTAAGCCTATCGTTCTGTGCCTATCCCTACTTCTGTCGTGCTTGCACTGCCGTCCTTCAACCTGATTTGCGTGGCGCAATCAAGATCTTACCTCGGCACGTTTTGGTCGGCGGGGGTTAGGGTCGGCGCGTTTTGCTCGGCGGGGTTTAGGGTCGGCGCGTTTTGCAGAACCGGGTGCGCTGGTCGACCCGTCGGATGATTACGCGTCGCACTGGATTCTGGCACCGTGTCTCACGGCCCATCACCCACGCCGACTTTCCCGTCGAGCTCGGCCCTGCGTCGCGCCCATCAATCCGCGTCGCGTTCCATCAGCCGCGTCGAAGTCCATCACTCGCGTCCCGGCGCCTTCTTCCTCCGGCGCCCGGCGCGCCCACTTCTTCCGCGGGGTACTACACCACATTCGTCTCGCTGCCACGCACGCGCACTCGTGTCGTCGCAGAACCTGCCCCGCGCCTTCGCTTCGTCTCGACACCATCGCGTTTTCTGCCCTCGCAGTCCGCTTCGCGGTACTCCAAGCTTCATGGCTCGCCGCCACGACGTCGACGTCAACGACATCGACCTGGAGGAAGAACAGCTTGACACCGACGACCTCGAGGCCGCTGGCTGCGCGGTTTGTGCCCTCGGCGCGCATCGTCCTCGCCTCCCCGTCGCGCCCCAAGTCCAGCTTCCGGCTTCAGGCGCCCCCGTCCACTCGGTGACTGCTCTTGTCGCCGACGCGCACACTCTCCAGCGCGAGAACCAGGAGCTGCGCGCCGAGTACGAACTCGTCTCAGCGCACAATGCGGGCTTGGCTACTCACGCGTCCGTGCTGCATGACCGCAATCTCGCGATCTTGCATCGTGCTCGCGAGGGTTATCGCCAAGGCATGATCCGGCTCGAGCAGGCGCTCCTCTCCCGGGAGCACGCTGAGCGGGACTACGCCGTCCTGGAGGACCGAGTGGCCGACTTCCGCGCTCGTGCTGAGCGCGCCGACGCTGCCGAGGCTCTACTCCGCGCCGAGCGAGGCTCCTCGACAGAGCAATATCGTGATCTTCAAGCTCAGCTCCGGGCGGCACGAAACTAGGTCACTGACTTGACTGCCCAACTCGCACGCGCTCCTGCTACGCCGCCTCCCTCCACCGTGTCGCTAGCGCGGCTGTTTGCTGGACAAGGCGAGCGCGACGACGCGCGCGCCGAGCGTGACGACCTTCGCGTCGACCTCGCAGCCGCCCAAGCCGCCCTCGCTCCTGTCCAAGCGCGCGTGGCCGCCGCCGAAGCTGAACGAGATCACATGCGGCAGCTCGTGGCCACTGCCGAGCAGCAGCGCGATGCCGCCCTCGCCGAGCGTGACCGCGTGACCCGCGTTCTCATGGTCGTCGAGCAAGAGCGTGGCGGGGCCCTCGACATGCGAGATCAAGTGCGTCGCGCCTCCACGGCCCTGAGACGCGAGCGAGACGCTGCTGTCACCGAGAGGGACCGGGCACGTCAAGCCGTGGCCGCCCTTGAGCAGCGGCGAGACGCTGCCGTCGCCGAGAGAGATCAGGCTCGTCAGGCCTTGACCGCTCTGGAGCAGCAGCGCGCCCCTGTCGACGAAGAGCTCCGCGCGGCCCGTGCGTCGCTTTCTCAGAGCCGCATGGAGATCGAGGCGGCCCAGAACCTGAACGTCCCGCTGCAGGACGGCCTTCGGCGCGTCAACGCGCTCTTAGTGGCCCACGCTGAGGAGCTCCGCCGCGGCGCGACGCGTATTCACGAGCTGGAGGAGTCAGTGGCTACTGCTACGACTCTCCGTGTGGCCGCCGAGTCCGAGATGGCGCGGGCTCAAGCCGGCGAACTTTGCGCCACATCTCGCGCGGCGCAGTATCGAGCTGGGTGGCTGTCCACGCGGCGGTCGTCTCAGCAGCGTCGAGGAGCAGTCGGCGCCCAGACCCATCGTCTCAGCGCTCGCGTCGCCGAGCTGGAGGAGGAGCGCGACTTGGCCATCCGAGAGCGCGACGAACGCGCTGTGGCTTGGCGTCGGATGCTTCGAGACGCGCGTCGGGGCCGAGAGCTGGCGCGGCGGGTGCGCGACGAGCTTGCTGATCGTCTCGCCGGCGTCGTAACGCGTGTAGGCGGGCAGATCGACACCGCTGACCTGGTTAGGCGACTCGAAGCCACTTTCACGGCGGAGATCGACGGTGCGATCCCCCTCCCCCCTGCTATTCCTACGTCCGCAGCAGTTCCTGTGGCATCCGCGGTTCCTGTTCCTGCTCCAACTGCGTCGAGCTCTGGTGCCCGGGCGGACTCGTCGGCTTCGACGGCGGGCTCGACGACTGGCGCTTCCCCTCCAGCAGGTCCTTCGGGCTCCCGTCCTGTTCCGACTTCGTCCGCTGCCTCGTCCTCGTCGGGTTTTCGGCGACCTCGACACGGCGCGTCGAGTCGTTCGGGTTCTCAGTCACGCGCGTCTAGGCCGTCAGGAGTGGCGTCCGCTACGTCGTCTGGTTCTTCGCCCCTTCGACGTAGTCGACGGCTCTCTATCATGGCCGACACTGCGGCCTCCGACAACGCCGCTGCGCAGGCCTCATCTGCAGCTACGTCCTCCGCGGCCGCTGCAGCTGCAGCGCGCGCACGAGAGGACGCGTCGCTCTTCGGCTCCGAGTCTTCGGACAGCGAGGACCAAGCGCGGCGAGCTCAGTCCAAGCGCCGCCGGCTGCATAGCCCCGAGTCTCGCTCACGGTCGCCGGCGCGTCCGCCTCCACGTTCGCAGTCACGTTCCCGGACACCCCCGCGCTCCCGTTCTGCTTCGCGTTCGCGTTCCCGCTCGGCCTCTCGTTCGCGTTCGCACTCGCCTCCACGCTCGCGCTCGCGTTCTCGCTCGCCCTCCTTGGCGTCGACGCGTTCGGCCGGCTCAACGCGTTCGGCGCACGCGGCGGGGTCGGTGCACTCGGCGGGGTCGGCGGCCTCGCGTCACTCTTCTCCTGCACGGCCGACGCACTCCTCGTCGAGGGGCCGTGCGGCAGCCGGAGCTGGACCAGGCACTGGTCCGGGCGATTCGGGCGACTCCAGTGGCAACGACTCGTCCGCTTCCTCGTCGTCCCGCGCCTCGTCCTCGAGCACCGCCTCCAGCGGCTCGGCGGGGAGTGCTCCGGCGGCGCCCTTCTTCGACCCTGTGATTCCGCCTGCCGGAACTCCGTCTGGCTGGCGGCAGCCTCGCTACGCTCCTAGGCCCAAGCGGGTACGACGTCTCCGCCTTCATCTCATCACCGTGCAGGAGTTGGAACGCTCTTTCTGCCGCCGCCCGGCTGGATCATTCCGCGCCGTGTTCCCCCCGCGCCTGCGAACTGGAACCGCGCCCTCGTGACTCTGGCCAACGTCGACGCGCTATACGCGACTCTGCCGTGGCGCTACCTCGCTCAAGCCGCTGAGGCGCTTCTCTTCGCGTCCGGCGACGCGGCGTTCCGCCCATTCCTACGTCGGCTCCGGCACCACATCGAGCACTGGGCTCAGGCGTACTGGGAGGCCACCCATGAGCTCTTCGTGCAGGGCGCGGCGTGGAAAAGGTGGCGCACGGCGCGCAACTCGCGTCGCTCACACGCGGGCAACCACCTCAACAGCCTGTTGCAGCTGGTGGTTGGGCTGTTCCAGCAAGGGCTCGCAGACATGGACCTCTTGCTGGACCCAATGGTGCTTCACTTTCCGTCCGCGCACACGTCGATCGGACGGTGGTATCCAGGCCTCCAGCACACGACGTTGCAAGCCGCGCTCGGCGACATCGACGCGCAGGAGTCCTGGCGCCGGTTCTATCGGACGCCGCTCACTGTGGCCGAGATGGACGCCAACGTACGCTGCCGAGTGACGCGCGATCACCCAGCCTTCCATGTGCCGCGTCTTGCAGGTAAGTTTGTCCAGCAGGTTTGAGTCTTGGCCCATCGTTGCAGTCCGTTGCGTTTAGTTGTTGTAGCCGTAACTTCAACACGTAGCCTTGATCTTTTCCCTTGTTTCTTTCCACTTCTCCACATCTTTTATGAGACG